TGAGATCTTATATTTGATTAAGATAATTTTTTTATTAAGATAACTGAAAGTATTCCATTGAGATTGTTCAGTTATGTTGAAAAACTTCCCCACCCCTTTCTGCTTCATTTTTGGGAGAAGCATCATCATCTCAATACTTATTCCTATGTTCATAAATTCTCATCTAATCTAATTGAAAATAAGATGCCCTGGCTGGGTGGCATAGTTGGTTGGAGTGTCATAACATACACCAAAAGGTTGCAGGTTCAATTCCTAGTCAGGGCATGATTCTTGGTCAGGGCATGCAAAAGAGTCAACCAACTGATATTTCTATTTCTCTCTCTCCCTTCATCTCTCTAAAATCAATAAAAACATATCCTCCGGTGAGGATTTAAAATAAAAAATAAAGTAAGATAACTGTTGCCTAAATCTTCTGCATTTTAAAGAAAAAAACAAATGTTCCTAGAAAGAGTGGTTTGCTTAAGACTGAGTCCCTTGACAAACCACAAAAGTGAAATTTAAAAATATTTTCACATACATATTACTTTCAATGGATTTTTTAAACTACTGCTGGCCCCAAACAACAACAATACAAGTAAGATAAGGAAGGTACTTGTGGTGTTTTGAAAATTAACTTGGGACTATCATGCAAAAGGTCCCCCACTCCCCCCACTGAGCTAACATACATTCCTCTCTTCCCCTTCTGAAAGGATTTCTGTACACTCAGTCTCCATTTTGTCACCCACTTGTTCCAGACTCACCAAATCTGACTTTCATTAATTATATTAAACTAGAGGCCCGATGCACGAAGATTCGTGCAAGAATGGGCCTTCCTTCCTCTGGCCGCCAGCACTGCCTTTGCTCCGGTCAGAGCCACCTTTCTGCCTTCGTTCCACTTTTCCACCTTCCCACACTGCCCAGAGGCCTGGAGCGGCTGGGGCGCTACGGAACGCCTGTGTCTCACCCCACCCCCGGCCGCTGGGCGCCTGTGTATGCAAATTAACCTGCCATCTTTGTTGGGTTAATTTGCATACTCACTCCTGATTCGCTGGTGGTATGATCATGAAGGTAGGGTCTTTCTCTTTTATTAGTGTAGATGAATGTTTTAGTCTTTGTCTTAATTTAGCAGCATGTGACACTGGGACCACTTCTTCCTTAAAACCAAGTCATCCTGTGACACCACTTTTCTGATTTATTTTATTTCCTCATCCCTTCTAAGATTCCTGCAGCCCTAGCTGGTTTGACTCAGTGGATAGAGCGTCGGCCTGTGGACTGAGGGGTCCCGTGTTCGATTCCAGTCAGGGGCACATGCCTGGGTTGTGGGTTCAATCCCCAGTAGCAGGCGTGCAGGAAACAGCCAATCAATGGTTCTCTCATCATTGATGTTTCCATCTCTCTCTCCCTCTCCCTTCTCTAAAATCAATAAAAATATATTTAAAAAATAAATAAATAAAATAAAATTCCTTTGCAGACCTTATGCCTTCCCTTTGAAAGGTGGTTCTCTTTTGGGACTTCATTTCTTCTGTTTCTAAATTATCTCATCCATCCCTTTGCTTCAATTTAAATATGTTGTCTCACTGTGCTGGTTATGGATATGTTCAAATAACAGAAAACCTTACCAGAGTAGCTTCACAAATAAGGGGTTACTTTTTCTTATATAACAAAAAGTCCAGAATAATGAGTTTCTAGTTTTGATTTAATGGCTCAACAAATCCACCAGATTGAACTTCTTGGAATTCCCAAACATGCCATGCTGTTTATTCACAACTTCAACCTTAGTATGTGCAGTTCCCCCTATCCTAAACCCACTTTTACACATTCTGAGTTGTTTGGTTGTTTCACCTTAGGAAATAATTCTTTTATTATTCTTTCATATCATTCTTTTACATTATCAGTATTAAGTGCCCCTGCTGAGTGTCCCAAAACACTATCATATATGCCTGTTTGATCACCTCTATCACACATTAAACAGGCCTGTATCTTCAGCACCGAGGACAGTGTCTATCCCATATACATCTGAGACTTATTCAATGAATGAACTTGGACTTCAAAAAATAGTTTTTCATAAAAACGAATTTCTCCTAACCCATAAACAATAATACACATTTTTTACTCATATTTAAGAAACCAGATAGAAACACAACAAAGTTCTAAAACCACAAAACAAAACGTGCATTTATGCCACCCAATCAACTATACCCTTGCTATCAACTCACAAGTAGCCAGCCATACACTGGCTTTTATGAGTAAGCTTCCTAACATGACAAGAGAATAGACTAAGGTAAGTAAAATATAAGCAAAACAGAACAGACCATTAACTTGTAACACCCTTCTCAGTTAACCCATTCCCAGCCTTAAGAACCACAAATATGTCCCTATAGATTCATCTTTTCTAGAGTTTCATATAAATAGAATCATACTGCACACACTCATTTTGTCTGGATTTTTTCACTCAGCATAATGTTTTGAGATCTACTCATGTTTTGCATTTACCAGCAGTTCACTTCTTCTTAATGTGACAAGTAAACCCATTGTATAAATATATATGTTCATCCAATCATCTGGTGAACGTTTGGGTTATTTCTAGTTTAAGAAAGGCTATGAACTTTGTGAGCAAATACATACATTTTTGTTTCTCCTGGGTAAACAGTAGTGGGAACAGATGAGTTATATGGTTAGATGTGGGTCCCTCCCAGGTCGGTGGCATCCCTTGGCCTGGCCTGCGGGGATTGGACCAAAACTGGCTCTCTGACATCCCCCGAGGGGTCCTGGATTGTCAGAGGACAAAGGCCAGACCAAGGGGCCCCACTGGTACACGAATCCATGCACCAGGCCTCTAGTTTTAACATATTTTAAATGGCTTGGTTGTGATTCATTCAAGCCAATGAACTCTTAAGGAAAGCATATATTTCCTATTTCATGTAAACAGACATTACGTTCACCATGCAATGTTGGAGACCACTAGAATGTAAGTTCCATTAAAGTTTTATTCATAAGACATAGAGAAGATTTAGCATACAGAAGGTGGGCAATAAAAGGGACCCATAATTTTAATTCTCTAAAAGTAGAATGACAGAGATACATTACATCAAGATGGTAGGCTGACCTTGCTGCCCAAACCCCTTAAAATGACAGTGAAAAAAGTAATGGGCTTATGTCTCTAGTAAATATGGAGTAACAGGGACTATATTTACCTTACCTGCCTGAAACAACATGAAACAAAATATATGAAACAATGGCAATTAAGACATTATACAAGAGGCAACAAAAGAGAGTGAACAGTGATATATGAAAGATGAGAAACAAAGATCAACCCTACAATTGCCCCAGCTGCTATCTAGGTAAAGAGGCAAAGAGGAAGGAACATAAAATACTCAGGAATAAATGTGACAGGAGATGTAGACCTATACAGTGAAAACTGCAAAACACTAACAAAAACTGAATAAAACCTAAATAAATGGAGCAATGTACCAGGCTCATGTATCAGAAGACTCAATATCTTAAGGTGTCAATTTTCCCCAAATTCATCTGCAGATTCACCATAATCCCAATAAAAGTTCCAGGAAACTTTTATGTAAAAATTTGTAAGCTTAGTCTAAAATTCATATGGAAATGCAAAGAAGCTATGATAACTAAAACACCCTTTATTTTTTTAAAATATATTTTATTGATTTTTTTACAGAGAGGGATAGAGAGTTAGAAACATCAATGAGAGAGAAACATCGACCAGCTGCCTCCCTCACACCCCCCATTGGGGATGAGCCCACAACCAAGGTACATGCCCTTGACTGGAATCGAACCTGGGACCTTTCAGTCCACAGGCCGTTGCTCTATCCACTGAGCCAAATCGGTCAGGGCTAAAACACCCTTTAAAAAGAATAAAGTGGAAGGACTTAAATTATCTGACTTAAAGACTTATTACAAAGCTAGAGTTTAAGTCAAGGCAACGAGAACTGGCCTCAAGATACACAAACAGACCACTGAAACAGAATGTAGGATCCAGAAATAGATCTATTATAGACATTAACTCTTGGGGGAAAAAATGTTACTGAAATAAAAGTTACATAACATAAAACCCACCATTTTAAGCATTTACAATTCAATGGGTTTTAGTATATTTACAGTATTGTGCAACCATCAACCCTAATTATGATATATTTTCATCAACCCAGAAATAAATCTTATTCCTTCCAATTTCCCCACCTCAATCCATGTCAACCACTAATCTACTTTCTGTCTCTATGGATTTGCCTAATTTGGAAATTTAATATAAATAAAATCATACTCACTGAAACCAAAAGTTGGTTGTTTAAAAAGAAGAACAGAAGTGACAAACCTTTAGCTTGATTAATGCAGAAAAATAGAAAAAAGACTCAAATTACTTGTCAGGAATAAAAGGAATATTCTAATGACCTTACAGAAATAAAAGAATTAGTAAGAAAATACTATTTACAAATGAATGCCGACATATTAGATAACCTAAATGAAACAGACAAATTCCTAGAAACTACCAAAAGTTACTCAAGAAATACAGAATCTGAATACCCAGAAGGTATTCAAATAAAAAGATTAAGTCAGTAATCAAAAAACTTACCCTAAAGAATAGCCCAGGACCAGATGGCTTCACCGGTTAATGCTACCAAATATTTATAGAAGAATTAACACCAATCCTCAAACGCCTCCAAAACACAGAAAAGGATGCAATACTTCCCAACTCACTCTAGGAGGCCAGCATTACCCTGATACCAAAACAGACAAAGAAATCACAAGAAAACTATAGATAAATATCCTTTATGAATATAGACACAAAAATCTTGAACAAACTACAAGCAAACTGAATCCAGCTACATACTAAAGAAATTACATAAAATGACCCAGTGGGATTTATCCCAGAAAAATGTAAGGGTTCAAGAACAGGGACTAGTCATGCCAGAAAGACCAATAAGTTGGGGTTTTGAGCCACATGATATCAGCCCCACTTCTGTGGAGGGGAAAGGGACAGGAGGTTGAGTTCAATCACATGGCCAAAACTCCACTAAAAACTCCGCTACAACCAAAGGTCACTGGAGGTTCCAGACTGGTGAATACATTGATGTGCTGGGAGGGTGATGCACCTGATTCCATAGGGAGAGAGCATGGAAGCCCTCTGCTGAGACCTTCCCAGATTTTGCCCTATATGTCTCTTCATTTGGCTGGTCCTAATTTGTATCCTTTAAATCAAGGGTCCTCCAACTTTTTAAACAGGGTAGCCAGTTCACTGTCCCTCAGACCGTTGGAGGGCCGGACTATAGTTTTTAAAAAAACTATGAACAAATTCCTATGCACACTGCACATATCTTATGTTGAAGTAAAAACACAAAACGGGAACAAATACAATATTTGTATTTGCATGTGGCCAGTGGGCCGTAGTTTGAGGACCCCTGCTTTAAATAAAGCCATAATCGTAAAAACAGCACTTTATTGTGTTCTGTGGGTAGTTTTAACAAATTATCAAACCTGAAGGGAGTCACGGGAACTTATAGCTGGCATCTGACATGGGGGCTGTCTTATTGGTGACTGTACCTTTCCACCTGTGGAATCTGACTCTAGTTTCAGGTGGCTAGAGTCAAAATTGAATGGTATTGCAGTTGGTGTCAGAATAAAAGCCAACCAAGAATTTTTGTAAAATTTGATATAGTGATTCTAAAATTCTAATGAGGCAGGAAATAACCAAAAGCTTTTCAAAAAAAAAACAAACACAAAAAAAAACCCAAGGTAGAACTTGCCTTATCAGTTAGAATGACTTAAATTAAAGCTATAGTAAATAAAACCATGTGGTTAAGAAAACATCAATGTAACAAATAGAGCCTAGAAACAGGCCCACACATACATGGAAATTGGTATATGAGGGGCGGCGTTACAAATTAGTGAAGGGGGAAAAAACCTCACACATTACCCAAAATTAAATTCCAGCAGGTTTAAGGCTATAACTTGAAAAACAAAACTTTTAGAAGAAAATACAGATGAGAGTCTTCAGAATCATAAAAAGGGTTTTTTTCTAAACAGCATAAAGTGTAATTGTAAGTAAGTAAGTAAATGAATGAATGAATGAATGAATGATTGACAATTATACCACACTGACATTTTAAAGCTTGGGTCAACAGGAAATACTATAAAAATAGTAAAAATGGTAAGCAATATTGAGATATTTACATTGCAAATAAAAATGACAAAGAACTAACATCAAAATAAAGAACTTCTACAAACAATGAAAACAGATAACCACAAAGAAAATGGGAAAGGCTGTTATAAAAAGATGATTCACAGAAGGGAAAACTGAATGGCTGGAAAAACATGAAAAAATGTTCAACCTTATCATAGTAACAATAAGAAACTAATTCATAACCACATTATCAAAAACTTAAAAGTCACCAAAACCGGTTTGGCTCAGTGGATAGAGCGTCGGCCTGCGGACTGAAAGGTCCCAGGTTCGATTCCGGTCAAGGGCATGTGCCTGGGTTGCGGGCACGTCCCCAGTGGGGGATGTGCAGGAGGCGGCTGATCAATGTTTCTGACTCTCTATCTCTCTCCCTTCCTCTCTGTAAAAAATCAATAAAATATATTTAAAAAAAAAAAACTTAAAAGTCTAATTATACCAAGTGTTGACTATCTAGATAAATGGGAACCCTCATCACTGCTGGCAGTGTATAAACTGATAAAGCCAAGAGCAATCTGGCTATACTAAGGCTAATATATACCTTCAGCTCAGCAATTCCACCTCTAGGCAAAACCACTAGAAAGGTCATTACAGCATTTCTCTTAACAGCACAAAAATAAACAAAATAAACCTAAGTATTCAACTTTTAAAAAAGTTACAGTATTTTCATGTAATAGGATACTATATAGTTAAAGTAAAGAACTAAAATAACATGCACCAACAGGAGTATATTTCAAAAACAGTGTTTAAGGGGGGGAAAGGATGTTGTAGAGGAATGAGTACAGTATTATACCATTTACATATAAAGTTTTAAAGCATGTAAGCCCATACCATGTATCATTTATGGATACATAAATATATACTCTTAGTATAAAACTGTTCGTGGGAATAATAAACTCCAAAATGGAGGACAGTGGTTGCCTGTGGGAATGGAGGAAAAGAATCAGAACAGCAGTAACACCCAGAGGACTTTAATAAATCTGTAATTTGTAAAAGCAAAAGCAAGGATATTGAAAGAAAAGGAACATCCTAAAAAAGTTCAGAACTGCAGGGATTTAAAAAAAAGCCATGAAAATCTTTCAGGAAAGAAAAGAAACTCACTTACAAAGGAACAAGAATCAGATTGACAGATTTCTCATCAGCAACAGTGGATGCTAGAAGATAAAAGAGCAATATTGTCAAAGTTCTGGGGGGGAGTTATTTGAACACTGGAAAACTGTATTCAATCTAAATGGGCACTCAGAAAAGGGGGCAAAATAAATATATTTTCAGACATGCAAGAACTCAAAGTTCACCACTTAGAAATCCTGTTTGAAAAAAGAATGTAATATAGCAAAAGAATTAATCTAAGAGAAAATGTGGGAATCAAAAACAATGGTGAGCAAATAAACGTTAAAACATAGTTTAATTTAAATCATTGTTGAAGAACATACAAATAAATGAAGGACAAAATGGACCTAAAATCCCAGGTAGTTAATATATGGCAGGTTGCGCCAAAACCGGTTTGGCTCAGTGGATAGAGCGTCGGCCTGCGGACTGAAGGGTCCCGGGTTCGATTCCGGTCAAGGGCATGTACCTGGGTTGCGGGCATATCCCCAGTAGGAGATGTGCAGGAGGCAGCTGATCGATGTTTCTCTGTCATCGATGTTTCTAACTCTCTATCTCTCTCCCTTCCTCTCTTTAAAAAATCAATAAAATATATATTTAAAAAAAAATATATGGCAGGTTGAGTGTGGGACTGAGAAGCAGGGTCAGGGAGGGAGCCTATTAAGATTCTTATATTGCTTTGTGTAAATTATAGTTATTAAAGCAATTTACTGTGCTCTAGTATCAACCTTAGAGAAAATCTCCCAATATTAATTTCCTTATAGACAGATTATTTACATTATTGATAATTCTAGCTTAAGAAATATATATAATTTCTTTAAGTGCTAACATTTTGTCTTTCAAGACATGGACTTCACTAATTAAATGGCCTGAGACCAGGCTTTAATTATAACTCAAGTAACATTACAGGTTTGAGTTACCACATAGTGTCTAATACCATGTATATCAGTTGGAGAAAGTCATCCCTGAATATGGAATTCAACTCAAATATTTCTGATAAAGAATCTTTCAAATTAGTCAAGAATTATTTAGCAATCAACCTACGCAAACAACACACACTTACTAATGTACTTCCCATCTATATAAGGTACTCAATCCACACAATATATTTTACCTATCTGTTCTCAATTGAGAATGGCATTTCAATTTAAAGTTCCATTTCTTTGTAGGGACAGGGGAAACAAAAAGAATATTCAACAAACTACCAAATCTTTAACCAGAAGAACACAGCAATCTCTAAAATTATAAGAAAATTTTAAAAAATACCTCAGTTAAAAAAGCTTTACTTATGAAAGAATACAATTAAACACCAATGCCAACATAGTTTAATAAAGTTAATTACCTTAAGTACATGAATAATGTACTCTAAAAATTGCCCTTAACAAAATGTTAAATATACATTTTACATATGTATAGCAACTTAAATAATTCACAAAAACAAAAAAGCGGTAATATAAGTTTAGATTTGCCTTAGCCTGTTTATTTAAAGTAAGCTTTTAGTGAGCTATAAACTTAACACAGCTAGTTCTTCAAATAGTGCTTGTAAATGTTCATTAGAATCCTGAATTTTTAAAAATAGGAAATCACACCCATTCTCCATAAGCCCTAGAGGATGTCAGATAGCCGGTTTCAGCCCTATCCCCGCAGGTTTGATCCAGACAGGAGGGAGTCCAACTACCACAAGTCCAATCCAGACAGGAGGGAGCCCGATCCTATGCATTGAGCATCTGTCTCCTAGTGGTCAGTGTGTGTCATAGCTACTGGTCATTCTGTCATTCGGTCGTTTGGTTGCTTAGATTTTTATATATATAGACTGGTGAGATATGAATTGGGGCAAAGGCTGTGGGGAGTGAGAAGAAAGGCTAAATCTGAGATTTTGTAGGTAGAATTGATGTGAAGGGTCTTTGAGTAAGAAGAGTTTAGTATGATTTCTAAGTTTCTGACTTAGAGAGTGAGGAGTTAATAGATCATTTTATTGTGAAAAGAAGAAATGGCCACAAATTCCAGGGGTCCTGGACTGCAAGAGGTCTCTAGTAATATTATAACAACCTCTAGCTGATTTCCCTATCCTCAAGCTGCCCATTCTGCTTTTCCAACAACTCAAAAAATTTTAGTATCAGAAATAAAAATTTCAGGCCCGACTGGTGTGGCTCATTGGTTGAGCACTGACCCAAGAACCAAGAGGTCCTGAGGTGGGGACACATGCTCAAGTTGCAGGCTCAATCCCCAGTAGGGAGCATGCAGGAGGCACTGGATTGATGTTTCTCTCTCTCTCTCTCTCTCTCTCTCTCTCTCTCTCTCTCTCTCTCTCTCAAATAAAAAAAGAAGGGAACATGTCCTTGGGTGAGGATTTTAATCCCCCTCTCTCCCTCCCTCCCTTTCCTTTCCTCTCTTTCCAAGGTCAGTAAAAACATTTTAAAAAAAGAAAAGACTTCAAGGTATTTATAACTCATGTGTCCCAATCTAATTTTCTCACATGGTGTGAAGTTCCTCAACCATAAATCTTTTAGAAACATAATGCCTAAAGTTAACAATTGCCTGGACAATACGGAATATTTCACACTTCTATGACTTTTCCCATGCTGTTCCCTACCTGGAATGCTTTTCCATCTCCTATCAACCATTCAAATTTCCATAATGACTACAGTGATGGTTTGTTATGTCCTGGAAAAAAGTTAGATACTTGCTCTTTTCTGTTTCCAAAGCAATTACACTTCTATATCATTTTTTACATAACTAGATTCATGCAAATATGACCATGTAAACATGATACAAATATACGCTGTTTACAAGAGACACACTTTAGAATTAAAGACACAAGGAAGTTAAAAGGATGGAAAAAGATATACCATGAAAAGCAGTAACCAAAAGACAACTGGAGTGGCTACAGTAACACTAAGACAAAGTAGACTTTAAGACAAAATTTGAGCCGAAACCGGTTTGGCTCAGTGGATAGAGCGTTGGCCTGCGGACTGAAAGGTCCCAGGTTCGATTCCGGTCAAGGGCATGTACCTGGGTTGCGGGCACATCTCCAGTAGGAGATGTGCAGGAGGCAGCTGATCGATGTTTCTCTCTCATCGATGTTTCTAACTCTCTATCTCTCTCCTGTCCTCTCTGTAAAAAATCAATAAAATATATTTTAAAAAAAATAAAAATAAAAATAAATTTAAAAAAAAAAGACAAAATTTGAAGTAAAGTACCAGGTGACAACAGACATTCCTAGCTACACATCAGAATTGCCGATGCCCTTTTTTTCCCCTCTTGGTGCTTGTCAAGACTGACTGCACTCCTCTTTCCTTTACTGCCCCCACCTTCCCAGGTCAGTCTACACTACGGGTTTTGGAGACCTGAGAAGTTCCACCAACCTCCAGGTGCTCAACGACTACCTGGGGGACAAGAGCTACAGCGAGGGGTGTGTGCCATCACAGATACTGCAGTATTTGAAGCAGTCTCCAGCCCAACACCTACTTGTATCATCCCCCACATTGGTATAATCATCACATCAAGTCTTATGAAAAGGAAAAGGCCAGCCTGTCAGGAGTAAAGAAAGCTCTGAGCAAATATGGCCCTGCTAATGTGGAAGATACCACAGGAAGTGGAGATACAGATAGTAAAAACAATTATGACAGTGATCTCTTTGGATCTGATGAGGAAGAGCAAAGCAAACAAGTGAAGAGCCTAAGGGAAGAACACCTTGCACAGTATGAATCAAAGAAAGCCAAAAAAGCTTCTCTTTGCCAAGTCTTCCATCTTATTAGATGTGAAACTTTGGGATGACAAGTCAGACATGGCAAAAGTAGAGCATTGTGTCAGGAGCATTCAAGCAGACAGCTTGGACTGGGGCTCTTCTAAACTGGTTCCTGTGGGGTATGGAATTTAAAAACTTCAAATGCAGTGTATAGTAGAAGATAGTTGAAACAGATGCACTGGAGGAGCGGATCATGGCTTTTGAGGGCTTTGTGCAGTCAATGACTATGGCTGCTTTCAGCAAGATCTAAAACCCATCATGGATCATTGGCCTTAAAAGCGTGAAAGAAAAAAAAAGAATTTCTGATGCCAGGGCCCCAATCTCCAAATATTCTGATTTTATGGATTATGACAAGGCCAAGGCATCAGTATTTTTCAAAAGGATTCCCTAAGGTCATTCTAATGTGTAGCCAGAATTTAACTGATTAAATTACCTGAGTATACTAAAGGTTGAAAAACACAAAGCTAAAAGGAAAAAACAAGGCCACTTCTTTACTTAGGGTAAATGGAATTCATAACAGTAGGGGAACGAACCCTGGAGACCTTTGATGACCTACTGCACAAAACTTTACAGTATAGGAGATGAGGTCTTACTTCAAAAAGATTCAAAAGAATTATTTCCAAGTCTGAGGAACATTACGGTCCTAAGCAATGATGAACCAAAGAGATTCTTTTTTAAAAATATATATTTTTATTGATTTCAGAGTAGAAGGGAAAGGAGAGAGAAACAGAAACATCAATGATGAGAATCACTGATTGGCTGCCTCCTGCATGTCCCCTACTGGTGATTGAGTCCACAACCCACAGGAATCAAACTGTGACCTCCTGGTTCAAAGGTTGATGCTCAACCACTGAGCAACACTGGCTAGGCCAGGTAAAGATTCTTGTTCAAGGCATTCAATTGTATCTATAAATTTGCATTTCTTTACTCTTAATATACACATATCTCAGCATCCCATTATAATAGTAAATGTTTTATAATGCTCATACTAACCCTGACCAGTTTGGCTCAGTGGATAGAGCATCGGCCTGCGGACTCAAGGGTCCCGGGTTCAATTCCGGTCAAGGGCATATACCTTGGTTGCAGGCACATCCCCAGTGGGGAGTGTGCAGGAGGCAGCTGATCTATGTTTCTCTCTCATCAATATTTCTAACTCTCCCCTCTCCCTTCCTCTCTGTAAAAAATCAATAAAATATATTTTAAAAAAATAATGCTCATAATAATATAATTAGAACTTTTAAAAGTAAAATAGCATATATGAGTAGAAAAGCATGCTATAATCTGACTCAGAAGCCTAAGAGTTCAGATCATTGCTCAGTGTTCAGACCAAGACCATGGTACTGAGGATCATAGTACAATCATAAGATCATGGCTGAGGGGACAGTCCAGTGGTCAAGAACTAGGGCTCTTGAAGCCAGATTTACCGAGTTTTAAATTCCCACAGCACTATAAACTATCATTATAGTATCAAATGTTCCTCCAACTCTTTAATGCTGTGTAACCAGACAAGTTACTTTACCTCTAAGATGTAAGTTCTTTATAAAGTGAAAGTAGTTACAGTAATAGAGTGGTTGTGAGGATTAAATAATCTTGGTAGAAGACCCAGGCATATGCCCCGACTGGGAATCAAACCATGACCTCCTGGTTCATAGGTTGACGCTCAACCACTGAGCCACTCTTTTAAGTTCTACTCTCAATTAATACATCCTTTCCCCTCTGAATCCATGGCATCATCATTCATCCAACCTAATTTTCACCAAGACCTGGGGCTGCTATCTCCAAATCAGATTTTAAATTAGTCCACTTGGATGAGACCTTTGAGGTCAGTATAATAGCAACGTTACAACAATTCTTACCCTATTGCCAATTACTATCTCACTTGCCCATGTCCCCATCGTAGCCTTGCCTTATGATGCAGATTGTTACCTAAAAAAATTAAAATAAAACTGCCTTATGACCCAGTGATTACACTTCTGGGAATATATTCAAAGAAATCCCAAACACTAATTGGAAAGAATATATGCCACCCTCCCCCATGTTCATTGCAGTGTTATTTACAAAGCCAAGATTTAAAAGCAGCCCAAGTGCTCATCAGTAGATAAGTGGATAAAAAAAAGCTGTGGTACATTTACACAAGGGAATACTGCTGGGCCATAAAAAAGAAGGAAATCTTATCCATTGCCACAGCATGGATGGTCTTGGAGCGCATTATACTATGAATAAGCCATTCAGAGAAACACAAGTATTATATGATTTTACTCATATGTGGAATCTAATGAACAAAATGAACTAACATGAAAAACAGAGAAAGACAGAGAACAGGATAACAGTTGGGATGGGGGCTTGTGGGGAAGTGCAGTGATTGAGCAAAAAAGAGAAAAAACTAATGGACAGGTACAACAGTGTGGTGATTGCAGGGGATGGTAGGAGGTGGAGGAGGGTATGGGGGATAAAT